GCTTGTGAAATGTTGTCTTGCTAGTGGTTTATATCACCATTGCTTTAATGACAGAAACCCTGGTATTGTGACAATTATATTGGCACAAAAGATGGTTGGATGACTCTAGGAAACACCATAAGTCACTAGTAGTGATCTGGTCTACGACTGCAGGACATTAGACTGCAACAATTTAGTGTTGAACTATTCAGCCTAACATGAATGTTACACTCTTCTTCTTTGTAGGATTTATATACAGTACATATAGTATTTATGCCCAGGGGCTGATGTGCACTATATTATACAGTTTGAGAAATTCCAGTGGACAGAGCAGTAGGCAAGACTAACCCCAAAATATCACCTCTCCATTCCTCAGGGAGTTGCTGATAAGTCACTGATAGCATTTAACTGGGCTACACTGATGTTTCGTCACTTCCCCAAAGTGGAAAAAAGCAAAGGAAGACAAAGCTTCTATATTAGGACAGCACTTTCAATTGTCTAATATTTCATCCATTCCTCACATTTTCCAAAGTGGAAAAAACTTTATCGGGAAAAATAGGCCCAAAATAATGATCCAATAGAGCATGATTTATATTCTTATATTATCTGGAATCTTATAATACTGTATTTATATCTTTAGGTTTTGTACAGTTTTTTTAATACTGTAAGCTACTCAGAGGCTTATCTTGTGTTAAGATGGATGGCTAATACATTTTTATTGATAATAAAAGGGGGAGGGAGAGATATGGTAAGAAATTCTTCTGCAGCTAACTTTATTAACACAAGCAAGCATTTCTAATTAGCTTTCTAGAATGAATTTTTTTACATTGTAAAAGAAAATTGGAATCAAAGCTACTGTGTCCAGTGTCAAATAAAGCCTTGCAAATGACATAAAATGATATGTTATTATGCAGCTCCAGAATACTTCTACAGAAGTATTATTATTATCCATATTATGGTTTCCTGGAATCCCTCCCTTCTAAATACTATGAGGAAGGACATGATGCAAGATTTTCATAAAAATATTTACAGACTTGACTTTATTTATTTCTCATATTTATATACTGCCATAAACCAAAGACTTACCATAGGTAAGAAAAAGCATACACAAGGCCTTAACTGTTTAAAATATCAATGTACCAAAAATCCCAGGGGTATATTACCACAACTTAAATTGTTAATTGAGAATGGTCTGCATTGCTATTGAATAAGGGGGTGATCCACTCTGTGGCATTACCAATGACACAAAGGTGGTAACACTATTAGCACAAAAAGAGAAGATGAAACAGGAAATCTCTGTCAGCATGATACAAAAATTTTGGAACTCGTGACATCAATATTCAATACAATCCTATGAATATTTGCTTGTAGCTACTTCCATATAAGTAGTTAGGGGGAAAACTAGTGAAATCAAGCTCACAGTTTAAACCACTGGCATGTAGTCTGTGTGCAACCATGAAACACACACACACACACACATATGTATACAATATATACATAGTTGTAAAGGATGTAAATCATAACAATGAGGAATAGTATACACTGGGTATGATTTTGATTGCCTCATGAAAACAAGATAATTTTAAGATAAAAGATAATTTTATCTTTGTAAATGACTTGTGATCCTGTCTACAAATCTTGCAGGTAAAACTAGAAAGCAAGCATAATTAGTGATTCCCTCTCCTTCCTGCTGCCCTGTTTGCTTCCTGAAAATCTGCTTCAGAAGCTTGAAGAACTAACTCAAATGGCACGGGGAATGGCATTGGAGGCCATAGGGAAGATGAAACTCCAAGGTAGGCCTGGAATTCTACCGAAGAATTTCACCACAGGACGGAAATTCTAGAAACAACCCATTGCTTTTATTAAAGATGGATAATTTGGAAGGGTGCTTTATTGAGGCATGGTCTTCCTTAGCTATTTTATTTGACCTCCTGGATGATCATATCAGGCAAAAAAAAATGCTTTGATGCATAGAGAGCACATGTTTGAGCAGCCCTAGAATAATCTCTTTTGCTTGTTGGTGTCTCTGTAAATAAAATACTTTGAAAACCTATTGAAATACAAATAACATTCTAATTGAAAGGGTCCTATAAATTCAAATATTTTAGTAACAAGGTCTTTTGTGTATGTCCTTGCTAAAATGATACCAAATGAAATTGTTGCTCCTTGATTTTTATAAACTTGGATACACACACACATACAAATCATATACACCAAGTTTATAAAAATAAACAATATGGGCGGCACACAAACTAACAAATAAAAAAAAATCAGAAAACAAAATCATTATATAATACCGTGTTTCTCATAAAATAAGGCCAGGTCTTTTTTTTTTTTGAGCCCCCAAAAACGGCTAGACCGTCTTTTCGGGGGTGACTTAATTCCACCCCCCCTTGCATCCTCGCCTAGAGCACCCCATGGGCAGCCATGCCTCGCCACCAGCCACTCCTAATGGGCGATTATGGCGGATTGCGGAGAGCTCCCTATTCCCGCCAAGCACCTTTGCTGCAGACCTGAGACCTTGGGCGCCCGCTGCTGTTGCTTTCCCTTCTGCCCATGCCGCCACGGCGTTTGGAGCTGCTGCTTCCGCGTTTGGAGTGCTGCCGCCATTTGGAGCACTGCTGCCATGTTTGGAGCTCCTGCCGCATTTGGAGCGCGTTTGGAGCGGCTGGTGGCGAGGCATGGCTGCCCGCGGGTCACTCCTAATAGCAGGTCCCCCCCGTCCTTCCCCCCCATTTCCCATGTTTTAAAATAGGCCTAAATTTGGGAGGAGGGGCTTAATTTCATTTTATGCCTAGAAAACATGCTGGGTCTTCCTATGGGGGGCCGTATTGTTGGAGAAACACGGTATTAATTGCAGTATTTTAATTTCAGAATGTTTTTATTCCTTGTAATTTTGTACTTTTGACTTTTATTTGTTTTTAATATTTTTATGTATGTATGTAACAATATTTCAGCAATTATTATAATTCATCTCCAGAAAAACCTGTTGTGAATGTAAATAAATAAAGTGAATGAAACAAATGAATGTTGTTTCATTTCATTTCATTTCCAGTCCGTGACAAAAGCCTGAAAAATAGATACTCCAAAACATGTGTTCAGAACCTTCCTAATCTTGAATTCCAGATCTGCCCTTCTGCTTCTCTTACTACTAAAGCAGCTGATCAAACAGCAATGTTGGATGATGCAAACCCAGACACTAGTCAATCATTTTATTTTCCAAACTAATACAGAAATAAAAAATAAGCAATGCCGGTCAGCATATATTGAGCAATCCTATGTTGGTGGAGTTGTTGACTATAACCACCAAGAACTGAATATAAATGGAAAAATAATTAGGGGAGGGCATGTTAATTGCAGTTGCTGTTGCATCACAGTTAAACTAAATTGTGCAGTTGTGCAGCCTTCAAATTTTTTTAAAAGTGAGTTTGAATCATGTTCTCTTTATTAAACCATCTCTCCAAATTATTGGTGTTTAAAACACCAATAATTTGGAGAGATGGTTTAATAAAGAGAACATGATTCAAACTCACTTTTAAAAAAATTTGAAGGCTGCACAACTGTGCAATATAACAGACAAAATCCCATGGTCCTTGTGACATTTCTGGCAACCCAGAAATGGAATTGATTTATTTTATATGTATGAAATATTTATACTCCGTCTTCTAATGGTAAAATTGTATTTCCAAATAGAGATAGATAGCAGATAGCATTAAAAAAAAAACAGATAGCATTAAAAAAAACATGTAGGGGGAAAAAAAGTACCTTTGTGTGTGTCCCAAAGTGTAAATTATAATTATTTACATTTCTACCTATAATGGTTTTATAATGTATTTTTGTAAAGTACATTTTGATTGGGAGTTATCTAGAGTTGGTTCTAAGGTGGTCAGCTATATGTTATTAAAAAAATTAATGACAAATGAATGAATTAAACCAATGAGACACATTTCACTAGGCATGTTTATAAATATTCTAGCTACTGGAATCTATTCCTGTGGGACAAATGTAATGATCATTGCTGAATAAGCTTTTCTCTTACCTGTGGGCATGGAATACTAAAACACAGATGTGATTTCATTTCCCAAGTAAACAGAAAAAAAGTTCCAAGGGCACTGAAGCTTCAGTAGCTATAAATGCAAACATATGGATTTTGCCTGCACAGATTATTATTGTTAAATTTATTTGCCAAATATCTTGCTGCGGGGCTACTTTAGCACCTTGTAACAATAACATGGAAACAATGAAAAAGTGTAAACAGAAGTAAAATAATAGAATAATAAGATAAACAATGAAAAAGAACATAACGGAATTCATCAATATGATAACCAAAAAGATGGATAGGTGGAGAGTAGAGAGCAAGATGAGAGGGTTATAGAGACAAAGATAGAGAAATGCATGTGAGATTGTCTCCTCTAAAACAGAAATGCATCACCACACAAACAAAAAGACCAAAAAGGTTTACATAAAATCTGTACGTACTAATTTAAATATATAACTATATCTACATATCATGCTTAATATAAATAGAGTATATCTTGCCATAGTGGGGTGGAAAAATCTGTCTGTTGTCCGAGTACATTTGGTCTCGATTAGTACCGTTAGTGAATCCCACAGCATTAGCCAAATTTGGCTACAGAAATGATATTTTCATGAAAAATGCAGTTATGGGTTCAAGTCCAATGGAAGTAGGCAGTGAAAATCTTAAAACAAAATTTTATGTGTATAGTAATAAAATTTTATAGGAAATGATAAAAAAAAACATACTTATAATTAAATGTATGGCTAACAAAGTCACAGTGTTAAATTTGTAATGTTTTCCTCTGACAGAATCTTCCTTTTCTCCATTTTGCACACATGAAGATTCAGCAGCGTCTAAAACCCAAACGCAACTTCACATGGACTAGGCTTAATTGTATACATACTACCTTTGTATAAACTGAATTTTGGGTCATATTAAAAGTGACCTGGTTTGACCTATATATATATTTATAATTCATGGGAAATATTAAAGCTCTTCCTTGTTCTTCATATTTAAACAAAATTGGGTTGTTGAGCTCTTTAGTTATTTGTGACCCCTAGATTCCTACTGAAATTTTATGAAAATTTAGTCAGGTAATTTTTTTGGCATAATAAGAGTAGTGAATTGAATTTATTTACACAGCTGTTAATAAAATATATTGTTTACCATGGTCATACTAACTTTTTAAATGCCCATCTTTGAAACAGAATATGCTTCAAGCAGAATATGGTGCTCCATTTAACAGAGCATAGAGCATAGAAATATTATTTCGGAGCATAAGAAAAAAGAAATTCAAGACAAGAAAGAGAACCTTTGTACAAATGTTGATAAAGCTGTCATAGATGTTGTAATAACATTTTTAGCACTAAATGTCACATTTAAAACACTAATCCTAATCCTAACCCTATCCTATACATTAAAATGGTATTCTTTGGAGCCCATAAATTGCACAATAAACTATGAACAACACCAGCATACATTGTAAGGAATAATACGTCATATGAATTATGCAATTATAATTATACAGTTCCAAAGAAAACCTTGCTGACAAGGAGTTCCAAATAGGATTCTACAAAAACTGCCATGTGCAAGGAAACAAAACAGAAACCACACAACTCCTAAATGGAAATTTGGGTTTATTTTAAATAAATGGTGCTTTGTTATTTAAAAGTACAAACATGCTTATGGAACTTTGTTAAAAAATGTTTTGAGTAAAACACGGACAAACTTACCGTACTTCGTTTCTCAACTGCTTTAAAATAATGTGAACTGATAACATAATTTTAAAAGATAAAAAATAAACATTTGTTTAGAAATATAACCCAGTAAATTCAGTGTTATATAGTCCAAAGAAAGAGAGTAACTATAGCTACTTAAAGGCCAGTTTAGGAAATTTTGTTGATTTTCCAAGAGGCACAAAAAGTTGTATAGCAAGGTTAGAGTTGCTAGAGAAGCATTGGGTTCTTAAGACCTTTTCTTTCAAAAGCAACAGTGAGAGGTTTTTGCAAAGTGCACATTTGTCACTTTTTCTCTTCTCTTCCTTGATTTTGATTTTTTTAACAATGAAATCTGTTTCAGATTCCCGTAGAATGTAAGGAGCCAGTGGGTGGCTCTTGCTCTGCTTGCCTTGAGACTGGTCAACAGGACTTCAGAAACAGAAAGTTGAGGAAATAGTAACAGCAGGATAAATTATACACAGGACTTATGAATGCTTTTCACTTGGAAGAAGTCAGCAAACTAGGAAGTAGGCCAAGATAATACAAAGTTGTAAACTTTAAAAGACCTTAATGGGAATTTGCCAAATGGCGGTTTCTGCTATCACCCTAACCCTAACCCAACCTCACTGAGGCAAAAAGGGTCACAGCTGGAGTTGGTCTTTTACACACTGCTTTGAACCAATCAATTATTTATTTAGCTTTGGGTATCTTCTGATTATAGAACAGTCAGACATTATTTAATATTTAAATTTTACCATCATTCCCCATACCTCACCCAAATAGGTCACAAATTATCTTCAAAGTTGCAGAACTTCTGAGGGTTCCACCTTATGCCTCCCAGCTCTGTGATGATAGCAATCCTTTGCTCATCCTCTGCTGCAACATAACCATGCTATGGGATGAATACAGAGCACAATTAGCACACACACTTAATCCTTTCACTCAGTTTCAAAATGCCTGTAAAATGCTCTGGTTTATTTTCCCAGTTTATACAAATGGCATTGACAAAATTCTTGCCTCTTCCATCATGCTAGCTAGGGAATTCTTGGAGTTGGTCCTCAAATCTTCAAGTTGTCAAAACTGAAAAACACTGCAATATTCTGAGACATGGCCAGAAATATGTACTCAATCTGTATAGATAGTGTAGGATGGGGATATATATTTGTTTTATATTTTATGTGAACTGAAACCAACGGAATAATTGTTGCTATTGGAGCTGTGACAGTTTGGGAGCAAGATATCATTTGAATCCTGCTGTCTTTAACTCTGAGGGGTCCTTGGTGGTTTTCTTACAGATGTTTCATTATCCAAACTAAGTAACAGCCACAGTGCTAGTAAGGACTGCAGATTGTTGTCAGTTTATATTCTGGTAGCTTGCCCTGTCAGTGTTGGTGGAGGGGTTTTAGAGATTCTTTGGTTGGGCTGTTGGCTCTTTGACAATTTCTGGATTGGGGTATTGTTTACTTGATTGTTGGTCTGATGTTAACCTTGCTGTTAATCTATGCTGATCTGGGTGCTGATTGCTGGTGGAGAAATGCTTGGTCTCTGTTCTTTTTTGGGCTGGGTGATAGTCTCTTTTGCATAGTCTATAGATGTTGTTAATGTCTATGTGTCTATTGATGTCTGATTTGTCAGGGTGCCTAGTTTCTAGAAATTCCCCGGCATTTTTGGATTTGGCTTGGTCTAGGATGGTCACATTTTCCCAATTGAAACTATGTTTAAATCTGTCTGTATCAGTGATGGCTAACCTTTTCAGCTTGGTGTGTCAAAAATCGGGAAAAAGTGTAGCCTTCCTTGGGTCATGTGTCACTTCAAGAAATATCAATAATTTGGTTTATGACGGACTGGGCTGGGGTGATCACACAGGGCTGTGAAACTCGTCTCCCTGGTCTCAGGGCTGCAGGTGCAGGATGTGGGGATCGGAAGGCCACCTTACAGGGCTGTGAACCTCATGGATCTCCTTTCCTCCTGTAGCGTTCCTGAGGTAATGAAACTGACAAACCTCAGTTTATGGCGGTTAAAACTGGTTCTCTGCTGCAAAGATCTTGCGGCAGCGGTGACACCACGCCTCCACGCAACAAGCAGGGAGCAGGGATTGGAGCAGAGCACAGGCAGCCTCTAAATGTGCAGGTTTTCCCCACACCAACAGGCGTGTCAGTCAAAGTGCCCCGGCGTGTCACGAGTGACACGCGTGTCATAAGTTAGCCATCACTGGTCTATATGTTGCAAAATTAATTTTAATGTCTTCTGTTGATGTTGTGGGTGTGTTCTGCCAGTCTCTTGCCTGTTTGTCCTACATTGTTGCAGTCCTGTAGATGACTCTGTAGATGACTCCTGTTTTTTCTTCTGGGTTGTTGGGTCTTTTAGTCTGCTTAGGATGTTTTGAAGAGATTTAATTGGCTCATGTGTATTGCTAATTCCATGTGGTTGTAGGAGTCTGAGATATTCTTGATGTATGGCAGTGTAATTCTTTTTAGGGTTTGTATTGGTTGTGTTGTACTGGATTGAGTGGTCAGGGACTTTTTTAATAAAGTTGTGTGGATATTCATTTTGTTGGAATATGTTTTATAAATGTTCTATTTCCTTTTTCTGCTGTTCCAGGTTGCTGCAGTATGTTCGGGCTTATTTAAACGCTTACGCAGCTTCCCTTGTGAGAGGCTGGGTTGTTGCTTTGGTAGTGGAACACCTGATTAGTGTGGCTGGTTCTTCCGTTAGACTTGCATTTCTAGTTTGCCATTGTGGTCTCTGCTGATCAGGATTTCCAGGAGGGGTAGCAAGTTGTTGTTTTCTTCACAACCTGCTACCCTTCCTGGACATCCTGATCAGCAGAGACCACAATGGGAAACTAAAAACACAAATCTACAGAAAAACCACCCATATAAATATTCTCCTTTATTAGTTTTTAACTCTTACTGGTTGGTTGGAGAAACAATTATTCATGGTATTTCTTGCTTGTTCTCAATGTTTTAAAGTCAACAGAAATGAATGCAGTAGCTTCAAACTGCTTTCAGGAGGATTCTGGGACTGAAAATTAAAGAAAAAAATATGCAGCATAGAAAAATCCAGACTATTGTTGCATTTGAGTTTTTCTCAGCCTTAATTTATTCACAAAAGTGATGCTAACAAACATCTGACTGTAATCTGATCTGATCTCTTTAGCTCAGACCACTAAAATCTTTGGGACAGACCCCCCACATAAAGACACATCAATAGGTATTGAGAGAAAAGCAGGCTTGTTCCTATACAGATTTCACTGTGACTTTGCAGGTCCCCAAAGCACTTTCTTTCTTTTTAAAGGGTATTATCTCCCCAAATGTCTAGTTCCTGAAAACACAGCATTAATATTTAACTAAAATTAGCAGACAGAAAAAGAAGGGAAGTTACTGAATCAGGGGCTCTTTATCAATGTAAATTGTCTAGCAAATAGCATCAAGATATCCCAAACCATGACTGGCTTCAATCAAGCCAAAGGATATGTCTTACCACCACTATCCTACTCCTTCTGCAAAAACCATAATTACGGTGGAGTGATCATTCACAGAAACTTTCAAGCAACCTAAAAAGGGAAAGGAAGCGGAAACAAAATCAGTAAAGAAAAGAAAAATGGACTGCATTTTGCAAAGAGTAAAATAAATTCCAGGGAGTATATTTGCCTATTGCTTATTTTTGGGCAACACCAAAATCAACCCCTTTAAGAGTTCCATAACAAGTTGCTTGAGAACCACATACAGTTCTCAAAGCCCTATGCAATTCCTAGACTCCCTCTAAAACTAAATTGTAATATTGAATACAACTGAAGGAGGAAATGCTTAAATAGTTGGAAAACAATCCTATTAACAATGAATTCAATTTAATATACATTCAAATTAATTCATACTGAGTTTTGTCCTGCCTTTATATCTTGCTGAGTGCTGACACTGGAAAGCAATGTAACCCCTTAATCCAGGAAAAGCTGTTTTGCTTCATTTTTTCTAGTCTGGTACTTTAACCACCATATTTGGAAGGCAACAAGCATGTGAACCAGTTACACCAAGCTAGTCCTTATCATTTTGTTTCTTTGCTGACTAATAAACTGTTTATTGATAGGTCTATAATAAACTGCTACTGATATGATTAAACTAAGAACATTATCTTTCCAGGGCTTTAAGGTAATAAAGCACAGCTTGTCAAAGTGTATTTTCTTGTCAATAACTTCTAGAGAATTGTTCACATGGAGCAGCTGTACTTGTACAGAGTGTTTTGTTAGGCTTCAAGTGCTGGAAGAGGAACATTGAGTTTCATTTCTTAAAGTGTTACCTGGGGTTTCACACAAGGTTCTCTCCAATTTGTACAGACCATCACAGATCAACTGTATATCATCATCTCCATTAAAAGAAAAACAGATGAAGGGAAGCCCAAGGTCATTATGTAAATTTGCATAAAGGACATCAAAGAGTTCAAATTCCTCAATTACTTTTCTCTCAGACCAGGATCCTGCCCTTCAAAAGATTCAGGTTCAGATTAAAGACAAAATGTTAAGGATGTACAACTTAATATTATATATTTATTTGCCCAGAGTCCATTGAAGTTGACAAGCCAATAAATTAAAATAAACAAATCAACAAACAAATATTCTTTCTTAGCCATCTTTCACCTGATTTCAGTAGAGTCTACTATCCAGCAATTGCATTTATGATTCCATTCCAAATATCCGAGCTGAACATGCTAAATTTCTATTATTTTAAGATTAAAATAGTTTTTATAAATAAAACTTTCATTTCTATACTTAATGCTTAAAAGATTGGTTATACTTAAATAGAAAGAGACGGAATATAAAGGACTCAGTGTATAGAAAACAAATAGGTAACTTGGAATACACATATACTGTACACCAAGTTTCCAATCCTGCTAAAGGGATTATCTCATCTTAAAAAGAGCTGCTTGCTAAACTCAGTGTCCCCAATAATAATCTGAAGATTTGATGGATTTCTTTCCTTCTTGGCACACGTTAAAATAGGTGCTTGGATTCCTGGCATGCTGACAGATTGTTAAATTTCTTAACTGAACAATAGCTTGGCAACTTTAGATGACACACACTTTGCAGGGGTTGAGGCAAGGTGACTAAAAATGAATTCAGGATAAACTGACAATTTCATACCAGATGTTTTGGTTTAGCATATTCATTAAATTTCTTCATGTAGCAGATATAAAAGATAACTGTCTAGAAGGCATAGTCAATCATTACTTATGTAAACTTTCAGAACTGACCACAGCAAATTGTGGCTACATTTTGAATGCAAGAATTAAGATTTTGCAGCAAATCAATTAATGTAATTATTTAAATAGATTGCCAATGATCTCTTTGGGCTGCTTTTACAGATTTTATATTCTCTTAATGGAGACGATAAAGTTGTCTCTTCTATTTTCTTCAGTAGTTCCAAACTGAAGGAAAAGTCTTTTTTAAAGCCTAAGATCCCTTCCAGCATGGCCAGGGCCAGACAAGAGACTAGCCGTCTCATAAACCCCACCGCAGATCCCAGTCAGGTTTTCATTTTGCCTCAAAATGTTTGCAATGCACGTAGGAAAACTCTTGTCTGCAGAGCCGTGAGTTCACAGATAGTTTCAGATAATCTCAAAGTTCATAGCCAGCCTAAAGAGCTAAAATCTGCCTCTGCCGCCTAAACGGGTGGGATTCGCACACACCCAAGTCGTTCCCCATTTTACTGCGCGGCGACATTTATAGCCTTTCAGGGATCTGGAACGTGAAGACTTCTCATCCTACAGTATTTTTGACGCAGGAAGGGTGACACATCGATGCCTGCCTAGTTCGCGTCCTACCCAGGGTCTCTGGCGCCTTAGGGGCTCATCAAAGTCTTCAGTGAAGAAGTACGCGAAGAAATGGTTCAACCCAGCCCGGCTTTCAGCGGCCCGAAGAAGTGTAAATTTTACCTGGCCTTAGAAGCACGGCGGAGCAAACACAGACCGAGCGCCGGCGCGCGGAGGGTTAATCCTAGGTGCTGCGCGGCCGCAGGGGCGACCCTCTCAATGATAACAAACGATCACGTGGTGGATCAAACTGAGGGGAATGGTTGTTTCACCTCTCCTTCCTCTTGCGCAAACGTCACCCCACCTTCCCGGTCACCCGGGCGACGGGTCCATCTGGGCGCGCGTCAGAACAGTCCGTCTCTTGGCAACGGCTGGATGTCTCTCTTTCCCTTCTCATTCAGCCTCACGCTCGGTCGCGCGTCGCTCTGGCGTCAAAGTGACGTCAATGGGTCTGTCTCGGTTTTCGAGGTAGGCGGGGGGAGGCCTTCCCGCGTGTTCCTCTGCCCCCGGCGCGCAGAGAGCTCGCTGGCAGCCGGCAGAGCAGCCGAGGCGGTGCCACGGGTAGTACGGTAGGAGCGGCGGCGGCAGTTTGAGAGCCTGGCAGCCAGACGAGCGCGGAGGCGGCAGCCGCTTGGCAGCCGGACTCAAGGTACAGCTTCGGAGCGAGTCGCGCGGGCAGGGCTGGAGCGGATGCTGCGAAAGCTTGCGGCGCGGTTCTTTCTTTCTTTCTTTCTTTCTTTCTTTCTTTCTTTCTTTCTTTCTTTCTTTCTTTCTTTCTTTCTCTTCGTTCCTTCGTTCCTTCCTTCCTTCCTTTCTTCTTTCCTGCCTTCCCCGTCTGCACACGAAAAATCTGTTTGCGAGTGTGAGAGTTCTCGTTTGTACACCCCAGATCCCATCCCATACATTTTTACTGGGACTTTTGTTGCTTGGACAGTAGATATTTGGAGAGAAATCCCAATACTTCCCCAAAATTTAATAGACTATTTTTGCTCTCAGTTTATACATCTCATTTTTTATTTTATTTTTTAATCAGCTTAGAGCTCTGATCACAGAAAAGCAGGAGAAGCTTTCTATTACCTCCACTGCATTAGCTTTGTCTTGGTGGAAAGTCCAGCGCACCAATTTCTGAAGTGATGTGGGAACGCCTTAACAGGGGGAAAATGTCAATGTAGTTGTCTTTCTCTGCAGGTGCAAATTGCCGTCTTCAAAAAGGAATGCTTCTGCCCACATCCTTCTAATTGGTGTGTTTGCCCCCCACCAAACTCAAATCATGGTGATCATGTCAGATTATACAGCCGTCCCCATCTCAAGCCAAAGCCAGCAAAAGCCTCTTCGGGTTGGATTTTATGATATTGAGAGGACCTTGGGAAAAGGCAATTTTGCTGTGGTCAAACTCGCCAGGCACAGAGTAACCAAAACACAGGTGGGTGTGAGATTGTACTGCCTTGCCTGGTAGAGAAAATTAATCGTGAGACATTGGGAGACAGGGCTCAGTGGAATTAATCAATTTTCACAAATGTACAATAAACCAATTTACACTGAGGGGAACTAACTCCCTGTGGTAGACAGTAATGAACAGAATATACTTTAAGTACTAGTAACAGCAAATTATTCCACACTTCAAATAGCTCCCTAAATGAATATAAAGTAGAATGACACTAAATCATAGATAGCATTGATTTCACAGTTATTGCTGGCTTCATAATAAATATTGTAATTCTACTATTTATTTCTTCCTAAATGATTGCTACTTTTCAGAATGATAAAGAGTTATGCATTTGGGGCTAACTCTTTTTTAAGAAATCAAATGGGTGTAACTAAATATAAATGCTTACAAGCTTGATTCATTTATATTTGAATATTTGATATATATGGTAACATTTGGAAAATGCTGAAATTATATATACTTTGAATCTGGATTGTACAGAGCATAGAATATCAAGAAATGGAAATCACATTAACTGAGCAATCTAATTTCTAAGATTTTACTTAAGAAACGAGTGAATTTTTTTTTAAAAAAAATTCTACTGCAACTAAATATGTCCAAAGCTGTACTGCTCATATATTTTTTGTAAGTCCTGTCAGTCTGTTGGTACTAAAATATTTTAGATGTTTCATTACTTTAATTTTCACATGTATATTTTCTTTTTGAAAATATGTTTTAAGACGTTTATATAATTTTATAGTTTTCCTATGTTTTTCACAACACTTACTTTTGTGTTAGTATTACTTGCAGCAATGTATTTTATGAGTGCTCTGAGTTTCTTTTTGCTTAAACCTTAGGTTGCAATAAAAATTATAGACAAAACACGGTTAGATTCAAGCAATCTGGAAAAAATCTATAGAGAGGTTCAGATAATGAAGCTCTTGAATCACCCACACATAATCAAACTGTATCAGGTAAGAAATGATTTCAGATTACTGCCTGCCTGTTAGATATATTTGGGGCTTTATGCGCGTAATGACCTTAATAATACTTGATTCCATTACAAGATGGACATATTATTTCAGATCAAAACATGTTAAATAGTTTAAATGAGAATATTTCCAAAATGCTGACTCGATGAAATGTAATTCTTTTTGTTTTTAAGTATATTTGATTTTATAAAAAATATTTTGTTGATGGTATATGGAAAATTTTAAGAGAAAATTTCAAAACTTGGTTCATATATCTTTTTATGTTCACAGTTTAAAGAATTAATTGAATCACGTGTATATGTTTTAGAATTTTCCTTAAAGTCTTATTTTTAAAAAAAGAAAAAGAAAAGCCAGAATGGATTACATTACTATGCTATTTCCATCTAGTTCACCCTGATTTGCAGTTGTTACATTCTATAAAAAGGAGTAAATTGAGGTGTTATGCAGATAATGAATTGTAATCCTCTGAATAAACAGAATTGAATTTATGTGAACTACATAGTTTATAACATTACTGTTTGATAGAAACACTTACATACTATTTAATACAATCTGTCTAATAAAGAGGAAAAATATGTTTAAAACATTTCTGAAACATACCACAGAACCTATTTTCTGTATAGCATGCAAATACTAATCATAAACTTGCTGGTAAATATTTTGCTTTTTAGGGAATAAATGAGTAGCTTAAGAAATACAAAAATGATAACCAAAAAGACATTTATATAGAGAATTTATTTTTAAAAAAAGCCTTTGCGACTGCTATATTTGTGAATGTCTGCTATCTATAGTCAGTCTACACAGCAATATAATATGGTTGAGATTATTTTTATTTTACTTCCATAGAAAAATAAATATTTCAGGAGGTTTAAAATAATTAAATACATTGTATTAATTGGTTATTTGAATAAACAAGCGGAATGGTTTGGGGAGCTTTGTTGGATCTCCCAACTTACATGTTTCATGGCTGTTGATATTGTGCTTGATGCTTCTCTTTGATGGAATTTAAGCGATAGGAATTAGGTGAAATGCCACTTTGGGGGTGGAGGGATGGTGTTGACATGATTTTAACAGCACTGACTGATTTTAATCCAACTGGCCTCTTTCCCAGAACTTTTCAAATACCTTATTCCTTCCTATCTCTTCCCCCTCCTTAATAGAATACACATATGTTTTTATGTGTAGGATGCAAATACTTTTTCATGCCTTTGATATTTAAACTTTATTAGACAGTGTTAGAATTTATAGTCTTGAAATTTTACACGCAAGTGTACACACGCATGCCCATGCACACACTCATTCATTCATTCATTCATTCATTCATACATTTCCCTGATATTTTTATGGATGTGAGATACAAGTCAACACCTCCATACTAAAATGTTCCAATTATCCTTGAAGAAATTTCCTTTGGATATTTGTATTTATGATTTAAGGCAGAATAACAAGAACCTTCACTGGTAAATAATGTTTAGAAACTACTGTATATATTAAACATTTTTAAAAACAAAATCAAATAAACTAATGCCCTTTGAAAACATGCTGATATTGGAAGAGTCATTCATATTTTGATGGCAGTGGATGTTGGAGTTAGGCATATTTAACCCTATACTGGAACAGCCTTTTCCAATGTGGTTCCGATACAGATGTTTTGGAACTGCAACTGCACAGAATTTACAGGTCATACATTCTATCATAGTTGGAGAACCTCAGATTATCAAAGGCTGTACCAAATAAAGAAATATATACAATGTCAACTATAAACAATTAAATAGCTTGTTTGTTCCTTATTGTATATTTCAAGTTCATTTGTCATCTTTTTTTCCAAATCAGATGATGAATTGTATTAAGTGGAGTTAAATATATGTCTTATCATTATATATGTTTTAATAAATATTAATTAACACAAAAATAATATAATTTAATGAGGAGTTGGATGTCAATTAGATGTCTGCATACAAAGATATGCAGTAGTTGCCTTCAGGCAGGTAAAATTATGTCTGTAAGTCTTCTCTGTAGATTAAATACTGGTACACAAGAAAATTCATGTTTTGTGCTATTATAAATGTGCTTTATCTTTAAAAGCATATTCAGGATTTCAGAAGTTTACATCTTTGATATGTTGTTTTTCTGTCTCATATTCATCAGGTGATGGAAACAAAAGATATGCTTTACATTGTAACCGAATTTGCAAAAAATGGCGAAATGTTTGGTAAGTTCTCGTGGCATATTAGCATATTATTAACATCTATTTGCTTCTTATCCATCACTTAAATAACAGGGCCTCCACCATTCTGAATTAGACTGGAGTGACAGACAGATAGAGAATCACAGAGAGAAAGGCAAGCCAGCAAAAATCCTGCCCCTTTTCTCCTCTTACGGAAATTTCTGCTATATCATAGACTCTTCATCAACTAAAGAGTCATAATTAGTTACAAACTTCTGGCAACCATGGAATGGTTTATACTTCACACTAAACAAAAGCAAATAGAGTATATGCTGACTTACCACTTTGTGTGAACCAACCCTATGTCTGCTGTAGATTGAGCTGCCCAGTAGTAATATATAACTTAAGTAGCTGATGTGCAGCTAAGTAAGGGGGTTTATTTGTAGATCTTTTAAGAGGCTATTGAAGCTGATATTAAGACATTTCTGCCCTTTTTAATCATGTTTGACAGATCACTTAACTACACGTGGGCATCTGAATGAACATGAAGCTCGGAAGAAATTCTGGCAGATACTTTCAGCTGTGGAGTATTGTCATAGCCATCACATAGTACACAGGGACCTCAAAACGGAGAATCTTCTGTTAGATGCTAACATGAATATCAAGCTTGCAGGTGAGAATTCTGTCACTGCAAAACATTTCATGTTTTCCAATTCTTTTCTCATTAGAAGTTTATTATATACTTCTGAAATAGACAGCCTTGAAATCTACATTTGAAAAT